TACTTAGTGTTAACTAGCAGGGAAACACAAATTAATGACATCGAAATAGGGAGTGAGCTAGGGAACTGTGATCACAAAGAAATGAGATTTAGCATAGAATGGAATAAACCTATAGGAGAATATTCTGTTAAAGTGTCAGATTTTCGAAAAGCTGACTTCAATAGCCTAAGAAGTTTTTTGGGTCAAATAGATTGGAAAGTATTGGGCATGGGATGTGGGCCAGTCTTGGAGGGGGACATGAACCCAGCGATAGGTGACGTAAAGGAGGATTTCGATGTGTATTCAAAATATAACTTATTTAAGAATATTCTAAGCAAATCACAGGAACGTAGTATACCATACAAATTCAATAGATCGAATAATGGTCCAAAGTGGATAACAAAGGATCTGAAGAACCTTATAGGTAAAAAGACACTGTGGTATAAAAGGATTTAAAATGGGGAAGTCAGTTTAGAACAAGAATTCGCACAACTGGTTAGAAATGTTATAAAAGAGATAAAGAAAGCAAAAAGAAACTATGAAGTTCGCATAGCAGGGCAAGGGAAGACAAATGCTAAAGGTTTTTTTCAGTTATATCAAACTAAGACTAGGGAAAGGATAGGTCCATTAAAACTGAGAGTTTAGCAGTTACCAGGGAGGATGTAATTAAACAAATAGTAAAACTAAAACTGAACAAATCCCCAGGGCCGGATGAAGTGTTTGTCAAGGTGCTTAAAGAATGCAAAGAGGAGCTTTCCGAGTCACTGTCTACCACATTTAACAAATCAATAGAGTTAGGCAGAGTGCCAGAGTCATGGAAGGTAGCTAATGAGGTACTAATTTTTAAGAAAGGAGATAGATCACTTTCCTTCAAACTATCGGCCAATTAGCCTAACGTCTATTGTGGGAAAGTTACATGAATCGATAATTGCAAATACAATTCGTCTTCATCTTGAAAAACATAAATTAATGAGTCGCAACATGGTTTTACAAATGGCCGTTCATGTTTAATAAATTTGCTATCTTTTTATTCCAGTATAGTTGAGGCAGTTGATAGTGGTAAGGATTGTTATGTTTTGTACCTTGACTCTAGAAAAGCATTTGATACAGTGCCACATGAAAGACTGATTCAAAAAATAGAGGCTCATGGTATTGGGGGTGCTATAATAAAGTTAGATTAGGGCATGGCCATTCCAAAGGAAACAGAGTTAGTATAAATGGGGTTTGGTTTGAGTTTTAGTAAAACTCAAACCAAACAAATCCCCAGGGCCGGATGAAGTGTTTGCTAGGGTGCTTAAAGAATGCAAAGAGGAGCTTTGTGACCCACTGTCAACCATATTTAATAAATCAATAGAGTCAGGCAGAGTGCCAGAGTTTTGGAAAGTTGCTAATGTGATACCAGTTTTTAAGAAAGGAGATAGATCACTTGCGTCTAACTATCGACCAATTAGCCTAACGTCTATTGTGGGAAAGTTACTCGAATCTATAATAGCAAATAAAATTCGTCTTCATCTTGAAAAACATAAATTAATAATTGAGTCGCAACATGGTTTTATAAATGGCCGTTCATGTTTAACAAATTTGTTATCTTTTTATTCTAGCATTGTTGAGGCAGTTGATAGTGGTAAGGATTGCGATGTTGTATACCTTGACTTTAGCAAAGCTTTTGATACAGTGCCACATGAAAGACTGATTAAAAAAATAGAGTCTCATGGTATTGGGGGTGCTATATTAAGCTGGATTAGGGCATGGCTATACCAAAGGAAACAGAGAGTTAGTATAAATGGAATCAAGTCAGAGTGGGAAAATGTTGTAAGTGGAGTGCCTCAAGGCTCTGTCCTGGGACCTCTGTTGTTTATAATATATATAAATGATTTAGATTCAGGTTTGAGTAGCAACATTTGCAAATTTGCCGATGATACGAAAATCGGTAGGGAAATTAATTCGGAGGAGGACTCACTATCACTTCAAGTTGATCTAGATAGGGTTTTGAAATGGTCAAAGGATTGGCAGATGCAGTTTAATGCTGATAAATGTAAAGTTCTGAGGTTAGGTAATGATGATAGAGTTACAAGATACGAGCTAGATGGTGTTGTGATTGCGAAGTCGGATTGCGAAAGGGATCTGGGAGTTATGATTAGTAAGAATTTAAAACAAAAGGATCAATGCATAAATGTTCGTAATAAGGCAAATCGGACACTTGGATTTATTAATCGCAGCGTTAGTAACAAGACACCTGGTGTGGTTCTCAAGCTATATCTTGCTCTAGTTAGGCCCCATTTAGATTATGCAGTTCAGTTTTGGTCGCCATATTATAGAATGGATATAAATTCACTTGAACGTGTCCAGCGTAGGATGACTAAGTTAATTCCCCAAATTAGAAATCTTTCATATGAAGAAAGATTAACAAAGCTTAAGTTGCATTCACTGGAAAGGCGAAGAGTTAGGGGTGACATGATAGAGGTTTACAAGTGGATGAATGGACATAACCGGGGGGATATTAATAGGGTATTAAAAGTATCAACACAGGACAGAACACGAAACAATGGATATAAATTGGATAAGTTTAGATTTAGGAAAGACTTGGGTAAATACTGGTTCAGTAACAGGGTTGTTGATTTGTGGAACCAATTGCCGCGTAACATTGTGGAGGTGGGGTCCCTCGATTGTTTCAAGCACGGGTTGGACAAGTATATGAGTGGGATTGGGTGGTTATAGAATAGGAGCTGCCTCGTATGGGCCAATAGGCCTTCTGCAGTTACCTTTGTTCTTATGTTCTTATGTTCTTATGTTAAGTCAGAGTGGGATAATGTTGTTAGTGGAGTGCCTCAAGGCTCTGTCCTGGGACCTCTGTTGTTTATAATAAGAACAAAGGTAACTGCAGAAGGCCTATTGGCCCATACGAGGCAGCTCCTATCTATAACCACCCAATCCCACTCATATACTTGTCCAACCCGCGCTTGAAACAATCGAGGGACCCCACCTCCACCACGTTGCGCGGTAATTGGTTCCACAAATCAACAACCCTGTTACCGAACCAGTATTTACCCAAGTCTTTCCTAAATCTAAACTTATCCAATTTATACCCATTGTTTCGTGTTCTGTCTTGTGTTGATACTTTTAATACCCTAATATATATAAATGATTTAATTTCAAGTTTGAGTAGCAACATCTGCAAATTTGCAGATGATACAAAAATCGGTAGGGAAATTAACACGGAAGAAAACTCACTATCACTTCAAGTTGATCTAAATAAGGATTTGAAATGGTCAAAAGATTGGCAGATGCAGTTTAATGCTGATAAATGTAAAGTTCTGAGGCTAGGTAATGATGAATGGTAATGAGTTACAAGATACGAGCTAGATGGTGTTGAGATTGCGAAGTCGGATTGCGAAAGGGATCTGGGAGTTATGATTAGTAAGAATTTAAAACAAAAGGATCAATGCATGAATGTTCGTAATAAGGCAAATAAGACACTGGGATTTATTAATCGAAGTGTTAGTAACAAGACACCTGGTGTGGTTCTTCAGCTATATCTTGCTCTGGTTAGGTCCCATTTAGATTATGCAGTTCAATTTTGGTCGCCATACTATAGAGTGGATATAAATTCACTTGAATGTGTCCAGCGTAGGATGATTAATTCCCCAAATTAGAAATCTTTCATATGAAGAAAGACTAGCAAAGCTTAAGTTGCATTCACTGGAAAGGCGAAAAGTTAGGGGTGACATGATAGAGGTTTACGAGTGGATGAATGGACATAACAAAGGGGTATTAATAGGGTATTAAAAGTATCAACACAAGACAGAACACGAAACAATGGGTATAAATTGGATAAGTTTAGATTTAGGAAAGTCTTGGGTAAATACTGGTTCGGTAACATGGTTGTTGATTTGTGGAACCAATTACTGTGTAACGTGGTGGTGGGGTCCCTCGATTGTTTCAAGCGTGGGTTGGACATGTTTATGAGTGGGATTGGGTGGTTATAGATAATAGCTGCCTCGTATAGGCCAATAGTCCTTCTGCAGTTACCTTTGTTCTTATGTTCTCCCGTGTTAATTTCCCTACCGATTTTTGTATCATCGGCAAATTTGCAAATGTTGCTACTTAAACCTGAATCTGAATCATTTATATATATTAGAAACAACAGAGCCTTGAGGCACTCCACTTACAATATTTTCCCACTCTGACTCAACCCCATTCATACTAAGTCTGTTTCCTACATCCGGGTAATTTTTCGTTACCTCAGCATCTGATTCCCCTAATTTTCCAATGACATCACCAGCCATCTTCCTCAATAACTCTGTTTTTCCGTGATAACATATTTAACCCCATTTCCATATTTATTCCCACTTTCGATATTAAACTAAAAGGATTAAAGAACCGCCTTCTATCAACCCTAATATGCAATGCCATAAGAACATTAGATTGAAGGTAACTGTACAAGACCCATACGAAGCAGGTACTATTTATATTCACCCAATCACATTCATATATGTCTAACCTATGCTTGAAACAATCAATGGATCCTACTTCTATTATGTTACGCGGTAATTGAATCCACAAATCAACAACCCAGTTACCAAACAAGTATTTATCCAATGTCTTTGCTAGACCTAAACTTATTTAATTTATACCCATAGTTTCGTGTTCTGTCTTGTGTTGATACTTTTAATATCGTATTAATATCCCCTTTGTTAAGAACATAAAAACAAAGGCAACTGCAGAAGGCCCACCGGCCCACACAAGGCAGCTCCCACTTACAACCACCCAATCCCACTTACATGCATGCCCAACCCACGCCTGAAACAATCGAGCCGGGAAGTTGCAACGTGGCGCCAAAATCCCGTAACAATAACACGCAAGCGTTATAAAGACTCGCGCTCATATATACAACCTCAAACGGTTTTACGGGCTCACCATAGCCCGTGCTACTTTGGAACGTTTTGTTCCGAGTAGCTGAATCTAAAACAACAACAACAACAGGCAGCAATCAGTCAGTAGTGGCCAGGACGTCGTGTCGTAAACCCGTGACCTGTTTCAACACCACACCAACGAAACACTACATATACGCCCGCAACGGCAGCAGTCAGTCAGTAGAGACCAGAACATCGTCTCGTGAACACTGGTCTGTTGCAACACTAACGAACCACAACATTTTACGTTATACATATTGTGCATTTTACATTCTACGCCCCAAGTTGTTTCATGGGTGAACCGGTCGAATCTTTTCAAATAATTTAAAGTGCGAGAAAAAACACCCGCTCCCTCTTCCTTAAAAATCTGTATTTGATTCAGATAAAAACGAAAATGACGAATTTGAAATATTTGATGCTGCACTTGGCCGCTGTGATTGTGTGCGGCCAGGAAGTTATACCTGACACGTCGAACATCTGTTTCCTTCCTCCAGTTACGGGAGTCTGCCGGGCTCACTTTACCAGATTCTTCTACAACCCGGAGACACATGCTTGCGACTGCTTCGTGTACGGCGGATGTAAGGGCAACGAGAACAGATTCGACACTCTGGATGAGTGCATGAGAACTTGCAACGTCTTACCTAGTCTGCAGGAAAATACTGTCTTGTGTGATTGTAAAGTCTTTGAACGCTTCAACCCGCTGGCGAACAAAGAGGTGTTGGACGCTATCAAGGACTCTGTAAGGCCGACGCAGATACCACAGGATCCCACAGACCCTTCACACATACAGCCAGCGCAACAAATCCTTCAACCAGCGCCACAAACCTTACAGTCGCTTCTACAACTAAAGAAAGCGCTACCAACTCAACAACGTGTGCCACTGACTCGGCACACGTTACCTTTACCGTAAGGCGAGCGGGTTCCAGCGGGCATGTGGGGAGACAGCTGGTTCAGGAGGATACGGAGCCTGGTATTGGATGACTCAGGTTCTAGGGTTGGTTCTCTCTACGTCGGTCAGCCGGCCTTCTTCACCCTGGATCATGACGATGCTTTTCTCGTTCTACGAGAAACGTTTAATATATGATCTATGATACAGTATTATCAGATCAAGTGGGGAATTTTTATATTATATATGTATATATATATTTTAAGTTTTTGTATATTTTATTTTCATATAAATTTTATCTGTTGTGTCTTAACAGCATTGATGTATTTAAATATTTATATATTATTGTGTAGCCTATCCCGTAAACATTCCCTCAATAATTAAACACATTTCCACCCTTTTTTGGGGGTTAGAACTGTAACTGTACATGAATTATGTATATAATTCTATGTACTGTTCATAAATTAAATTTTAATGTACATGAAAATAAAATTAATTTATAAATTGGAAAAAATGTTTTTTATTTGTTTGAATTAACGTTGTCGATAGTCCGTAGTTGTTCTATTGTCTAACGGTGAAGAATGGATTGAAAAATGAGGTTACCATTACAATTATATTATTAGGAGAACGCGAGTCTCAGTGTACGACAAACTCATTGTGAGTTGACCAGACCACACACTAGAACGTGAAGGGACGACGACGTTTCGGTCCGGCCCTGCTACCATTCTCAAGTCGATAGTATATTGTGAGGCTAGCGTTCTCCTTAATAGGTGACTGATTTGATGAAAACTATCGGTGTTCTCTTCCCATTGAGTGCTTTCGGGTATCGAAAGCACTCGCAAAGAGAAAGCACTAACCATTGCTATCTTAGCGAAGTATCCAAAATTTGCTTACTGTAGGAATGCATGCACACGACTGTAAAGCTGCCGCCCAGTTGGGTGGGAGCAAGACACCTGCAAACCCTGTGGGTGTGTGACTCACCATAGATGTATAGTGACTTGTGAGCCTCTTGTTGAATCATTTGTGATACAAAAGATTATTGATGTGTGTATTTGTGTAGGTGAATGATGTGTGTATTTGTGTAGGTGATTATAATTGTATCAAAATGACCAGCAGTTTGATACATAAGACATACGTACATAGATGTACGTATGTACATGTACATACTCATATATGTATGAGTATGTACATGTATATATAACATTGATAATTGTGTAACTAGCGTTAAAAATTGCTATTTGCTTAGCTAAACGAACTAGAGGGTTCAGTTCCTGAACCGATTAGGTGTAATCCTTCACACCATCGCCCACGGAATGCGTATAGGGTGCATAATAAAGAAAGAAATTGATTATCAACAGCATAAAGGAAAGTCTGCAATGGTCAAGTGGGAAAATAATATTTTCCCACTTGACTTGAAATTAACGAAATGAAATTTCATTGACTTGAAATTAATAATATTTAGTGTTAACTAGCAGGGAAACACAAATTAATGACATCGAAATAGGGAGTGAGCTAGGAACTGTGATCACAAAGAAATGAGATATAGCATAGAATGGAATAGACCTGTAGGAGAAAATTCTGTTAAAGTGCCTCAAGGCTCTGTCCTGGGACCTCTGTTGTTTATAATATATATAAATGATTTAGATTCAAATTTGAGTAGCAACATATGCAAATTTGCAGATTTAATATTATCGTTTACTATTCAGTCCCGTCTAGCCTATCCCGTGAACACTCCCTGAATTGTTGTAATTAAACACATTTTCACCCTTTTTTGGGTTGGAACTGTAACTGTACATGAACTATGTACTGTGTATATAATTCTATCTACTGTTCATAAAATTAATTTTTAATGTACATGTACACCTACTGTATATTAAATGAATTTATGATGCGTATGAACACTTGCTGTATAATAAAATGAATTTATAATTGAGACAATTGTTTTTTTATTTTTTTAATTAATTTATAACGTAGAAAAATGTTTTTTATTAGTGTAAATAATGTCGGCGATAGTCCGTATTTGTACTACTGGAGAATGGATTGAAAAATGAGGTTACCATTACAGTTATATTATGAGGAGAACGCGAGCCTCGGTGTACATTCGTACATTGTGTGTCGTACATTGAGGCGCGCGTTCTCCTCAGTAAGTGACTGATTTGATGAAAGATATTTCATGTGGTCTCCATCCTGATCGACGATCCACCTCCTGCTCCGTCCTTTACATGACCCCCTCTCCTCTAATATACCACTACTCAAATCACCTAACTTCCAACTATATAGTCTCCTAACTCTTCTCCCCCTCTCACCCACCATTTGGTCACCACTTGGTCCGGGAGACATCTCCCGTCACGCAGGGTGCAGTTGCACCTCCACAGATCTCCAGTATCAGCTCTTGATACTGGTGATGGCTCGAAAGGGCCACCACTTACGAGCTATTCATGCCCGTGCCATCTTTTGGGTGGCTTCATCTTCATCTTCATCTGTTTAAAACACGGGAGACATCTCCCGTCACGCTGGGTGCAGTCGCACCTCCACAGATCTCCAGTATCATCTATTGATACTGGTGATGGCTCAAAAGGGCCACCACTTACCAATTCATGCCCGTGCCACCTATTGGGTGGCTTCATCTTCATCTTAACACATTCACAAGGGAGACATCTCCCATCATGCAGGGTGCATTCGCACCTCCACAGATCTCCAGTATCAGCTCTTGATACTGGTAATGGCTTAAAATGGCCACCACTTACGGGCTATTCATGCCCGTGCCACCTTTTGGGTGGCTTAATCTTCATCATCATCATCTCCCCCTCTCCACAGGGAAATGGCAGTTAGGATATATAGACCACGTCTAGGTTACAGATGCAAAAAAAAACACAGGGTGCAGTTGCACCTCCACAGATCTCCAGTATCATCTATTGATACTGGTGATGGCTCAAAAGGGCCACCACTTACGGGCTATTTATGCCCGTGCCACCTTTTGGGTGGCTTCATCTTCATCTTAACACATTAACAAGGGAGACATCTCCCGTCACGCAGGGTGCATTCGCACCTCCACAGATCTCCAGTATCAGCTCTTGATACTGGTAATGGCTCAAAAGGGCCACCACTTACGGGCTATTCATGCCCGTGCCACCTTTTTGGTGGCTTAATCTTCATCAATCTGTAGAAACCAACACCACCATTTGGTCACCACTTGGTCCGGGAGACATCTCCCGTCACGCAGGGTGCAGTTGCGCCTCCACAGATCTCCAGTATCATCTTTTGATACTGGTAATGGCTCGAAAGGGCCACCACTTACGGGCTATTCATGCCCGTGCCACCTCTTGGGTGGCTTAATCTTCATCAATCAATCTACAGATGCAACTGGGAGATTGGTGAACCCCGACAGAGAGAGTGCATCTTCTGCCAAACTGTCACAGAAAAGCCATTACTTCACTATCTTCTGGAATGTGAAGCAACCAATGACCTTAGAAGAGCTTTAAGAGTTCCTGAATCATGCAGTGGCCACCCTGAAGCCATCAACACAGCCACTCTCCTGGTCAACAAAGGTGTCCAGCAGCTGGACACCCTCATAAAGACTGTGAAGCAGTATCCTCCCCTGCGATAACAGCTTGATGGTTAAATGCAACCTCAGAATACTGAGAAAAAAAAATTGTACCACTTACGGGCTATTCATGCCCGTGCCACCTCTTGGGTGGCTTAATCTTTATCAATCAATCAATCTCCCCCTCTTTAGGGGGGGACCTGCTAGCTCCCGTTTTCTGGTGCCTTGGGTGGGGGACGATGCTGAATAGCAAATCTAAGACCACATCTGGTGTGAGCCTCCAGGGCACACCCAGCTGAGGGCTGCTGTCTCCGTGGGCGCTCAGAATTCCTTGCTTCCATTGCCTAGTCTGGTCATAACGATTTCAATGCCATGCATTGAAATCGGTCTAGCCCTGGCACTTTACCGCATACTGAAAACCCTTCCTCTCACCCCCACTAATTCTTCCCCTATCCCCAACTTCCACGCTCACCCAATAGGGTATCTTGACCGATATTTAATTCATTCATTCATTCTTCACTTCTTGCCCCGCTCCTGTGCCAGGTAAGTTACGGGCTCACCATAGCACGTGCTACTTGGAACTTGTTCCGAGTAGCTGAATCTATAACAACAACATTCATTCATTGGTCTCCATCTCATGTTCGCCTCCGAATGCATGATAGAGCTGATGAGTTAGCCAAAGAATCTGCCTTTAAAGGAGACGTTGAGAGTAACTTTGGATTGTCAATGAGCAACTGTACCTGTACACCAAGTACAAATGTACATTTGGTGTACATATGTACATCTGTCTTGGTGTACAGTTCTTGTACACCAAGAACTTCAAAAAAAAAATTGTAGATCTGAGGCAGTGAAATCGATATACAGTATATATATATATAATATACAGAGCAATTTTAAAACACAGAGTAGGAAACTATGAAGAAATTAGGTTTTTGCTGGGTGATGATGGGCTTGAGGTGGTTTGCAGTGGTAGAACCCCATGCACAGACACCATAATTAAGATAGGGATAGATTAGTGCATAATATAGTGAGAGGAGAGCAGAGTTAGGAACATAATATCTGATTTTGGAGAGTATACCAACTGTTTTAGAGACTTTCTTAGTTATGTGTTGTATGTGGGTACTGAAGTCTCTTGTCTAGGAATAGGCAAGAAACTTTCCATCATTTTTATTATTGATATTATTACTGTTTATCTGTAGCTGAATTGCATTTGTTGATTTGCTTCCAAATAAGATGTAGCAGGTCTTTTTTATGTTTAGTGTTAGTTTGTTAGTTGATATCCATAAGTGGACTTTTTTAAATTCATTATTCACAACATTATTTAATGTATGTGGGTTGGGGTCTAAATAGATGAGGGTGGTATCATCAGCAAACAATATAGGTTTAAGAATGTTAGAGAAATTAGGCAGATCATATATATAAGATGATATATATAAGAAATAGGATAGGTCCCAATTAAGATGCTGCCCTGTGGCACTCCAAAGGTTACTGGCAGAATGGGAGTGATTATATCATTGATGGCTACACATTGGTGTCTGTCACTAAGATAGGATCAGATATAGTCCAGGGCAAGGCCTCGGATTCCATAATGCTGGAGTTTGTCGATTAACAGAGTCCAATCGGAAACTCATTTTTGTCAAGGGCTGAGTAGATTATATCAAGGAGACTAATAATTGCATCATTGGTACTCTTTTGGGACCGGAAGCCAAACTGACAGGGACTGAGTATGTACCCTACACCGTTCACAAGATGGGTATGGGGTGCATAATAAATGAATTAAACTAAACTGCTGGGATTAGACCGTCGTGAGACAGGTTAATTGACTCTTCCCATTGCGAGTGCTTTTGGGTCGTTGGTTAAGTAACCTCGGCTATCAACGTCTGCAATGGTCAAGTGGATAACGTACTGGATACGTTAGCGTGTTTGGGGCTATCTAAGGTTCGAATCCTTCACGAGGTTGAGTTCTTTAGTAACATATAACTTTCTGCGTTTATAATACTTACATATGTAACATATATGATAATACATATCACATTATGTAATCACCAGCCCGTCCTCCAAAAATAAAACTAAGTGCAATTATGTACTATTCATAGCAGTTAGAAATTGTACTTATTTTCACTTAGTATTAAATCGCAGTCAAATATATTGTGAATATTTGAGTTTACCTGAAAAACTGAATAGAAAACCACAACCTCACCTAACCGTCTTAGTTTTTGAAGATAATAATTTTATTGCTTCTTAATTACAATTAGTACTTTACCTATAGCTATATTGATATTACAGTTTTATACAACTAATAAAACAAAACTAAAATATATCAATAAATTGTAAAGAAACTTGGGATATTTTAAAATTTTGTATAAAATCTATATTGTTTAATAAACCTAAAAAAGAAATAACTGATATTTAAAACTTGAGTACAGTATACTAAAATTGAAAATTTCAGCCTAAAATTCCGAGTGTCTTAGCAAATAACGAGGAGAATAAAAATCGGGGGAGGGAATATGGTAAATGTAATAGTGTAATATACACTGTGTATGATAGTAAGAAAGTGTACTTGGTATTAAATCGTACTGTCAATTCGGAGGATGGGTTGCAACGTAAGCACACACATCTTACAACTGTTTAGATTATAACTGACATCACCCTGATTATTGCCACTTCTAGATTAAAGCTAATTAAGGACTAATCATTACTTACGACCATCATGCACAAACAATACATTTAATTTTATTTGTATAATTATTACCGGCACTTAAACTACTTTGGTGATCCTCCACTACAACTCCCAGAGCTCCTCACTGCTCCATACGCCTGCCACTTGTCTGGTCTACACTTGCATCTATACTAATGGGACACCCGGTCACGTTGTTTTGTCTACAGGTTCATACACTCTAGTCTGGATGTGGCAACTGTGTCAGTGAGGCAGCTGTGAAGGTCTTGAATGCCTTATATATCGCCAAATTAGAGAGTTGAAGACCATAACGGTGGACTGACCTTGCACTTTAAGCTCATTGGCAAATAAATTGTTGTTGTTTAAGATTCAGCTACTGGGAACAAAAAGTTCCAAGTAACAGGGGCTATAGTGAGCCCGTAGTGGACTTACCTGGCACAGAAGCGGGGCTGTAACTTAACTAACACGGGGCAATTAAATGAACTGCATAATATATGTTTAATGTTTTTGTGTACTGTATACTGTAGCGTACGTAGTACACGTCGTGCATATTAAACACTTACACAGTATGTCATGGGAATAGGAAAACAATGCTGCAACAATTAAGGGGTATACTTTCGTTT